GACTATAATAAAATGTTAAAGAAGATGATATTAAGATAGTAGACTTAAATTTGTGATATAACTAGTAATGTCATGTTAGAATGCTGTTTCAACCTGTTTCAAACTAAGCAGGATTCTGGCCCCCCACAAACTTTGTAGTTTGTTCTCATTTCTGCCTTTCTTCAAATCAGAAGAATCTTTCCCATATAGATGTAGGTTGCATACACTTTAAATCACAGCTTTGAGTTTTGTAAACAGAATAAGTAGCCTAGTTACATTGATATTTACTTAAGTACTCCATTAACATTGCATTATTTCAAATGATGGAATTCATATTAAGTGATAAAGTATTGATAAAGGCTGGACAAATGATTTAATCTCTCTGTCCCTGAGTTTATCTCTGGAATGAGGATAGCATTGTTATGAGAATTAAATAAACCATGCAACATACGTGGCACATAGTGTTTAAAAATATTAGTTCTTAGCATTATTATAAAATAAAATGGTTACTCACTCTTTTGTTGAGACAAATAACAGGCCACAGGCTGCAACCCAGAGTACAACAACAGCAGAGACAACCACACAGCAGCCATTTCACATTGACTGGGAGAGCCTTTTTCAAACACCCATTCACACGGCCAATGCTGGTCTTAAATTCTTCTGGGGCCACCTACAACAAGAGCATAATCTTTAACAGTTTGTGGGCAACTTTCCACTATTTATCTCTAAACCTAAAGAAAATGTTTGTCTTATTACAAGTACTTTAAGGAAATATATTTCCTCCCTTGTGGCATGGCTCAGTGGTTGAACGTCAACCTATGAACCAGGAGGTCATATTCATTCCCAGTCAGGGCATATGCTTGGGTTGCGGGCTCAATCCCCGGTGTGGGGTGTACAGGAGCCAGCTGATCAATGACTCTCTCTTATCATTGATGTTTCTCTCTCCCTCTCCTTACTTTCCCCAATAAATACATATTACATATTCCTAGATGACATTAGAAAGAAAAAATATATAATTGCATGTTTACAGAATTCATCCTGATGTTTAAAAACAAACTTCTCATATTACCAACAAAAAAATGACAACAATAAAATTGGTGGTAAAGAATAACCATCAAGCAGTCATCTTACCAAATACTCTCAATATTAAGGCAATATTATTTATAGTTTCCAGTCACCCTGACCAGAAGTTGAGTAAGATTAGAAGTATAATATGAACCTATATACTACCAGAGGAAATGAAATTAAAATTAGACTTTGGCAATATTCCTGGATTACTTTTATTTTTATTTATTTATTAAAATATTTGTATTGATTTTTAGAGAAAGAGGAAGGGAGGGAGAGATAGAAACCTTGATCAACTGCCTGCTGCTTGCCCCCTTACTGGGGATTGAGCCAGCAACCTCTTGGTGCAGGGGTCGACACCTAACCACTGAGCAACACTGGCCAGGCTTAGATTACTTTTAAAAAAGACAACTGTCCCCCAGCTGGCGTGGCTCAGTGGTTGAGTGTCAACCTATGAACCAGGAGGTCATGGTTTGATTCCCGGTCTGAGCACATGCCCAGCTTGCGGGTTCGATCCCCAGTGTGGGGTGTGCAGGAGGCAGCCAATCTATGATTCTCTCTCATCATTGATGTTTCTATCCCTTTCTCCCTCTTCCTTCCTCTCTGAAATCAATAAAAATGTATTTTAAAAAAAGACAACTGTCAAACCTTTCCTTCCTGGCAAATTTGCAACAGAATTTTAACGCTTGCCATTATTTCCATTATTTGTAAGTAAAAGCTACATTTACAAAAGACTATGAGGTGAATACACTCAAGAACTAGTCTTAGTATTCAGCATAAAATGGACTCATGATTGCTGTAAATTCTGAAAGTTGGAAAGTCATTATACAAATTTAATATTTGTAATCACTACCTCCATTCCTGGAAGTGGCTGCTTGTGTTTCTCTGTAAACCATAACAAAGTCAGTTCAAAGGCATGAGAAGCATAATTAGATTTATATTGAAAATTCTGCTTGGGGTTATACAATTCAAAAGTATACTAAATATGGTTTGATTTCAGTGAAATCATATTTCTGAATCAAAAATTATTCCCTTTGATTTAGAAAGCTGTCAGGCTAATATCTATGGGGGGAAAATCTAGCACCTGGCTATGCAAGTAACACTTATGAAAATGTTAGGAAAAAGAAGCTGCTGTAAAATAAAATCCCAATTAGCATGTCTGCTATCAAAATATGAACCTTTACAATTCTTCTAAGTAAAAATTAAACTAGAGGAATCAATGAATTACATTTTTGTCTTTTAATCAACACTAAAAATATATACCTATTAGCAGATGTTAGAAAGATACATGATCACAGAACTCAGCACCTCATGATTAAAACATTAAGTAATTATATTAGTTTTATTAGAATCATTCATGTCATTTTTCTTCCAAATATATTAACTAACAACAGTTGTGAAATTGTGAGGCTCAAAACTGTATTAACATGAGGAAAGTAAACTTTGTTCTCCATCTAGATGGTTGGCAATGAGTAAAAAGAATTACAATTAAATGACTAAATTTTCAAGGTAAATATGAAAATAAACTGAGAGAACCATAAATTATAACTGAAAATATAAACACTAGCAGGCTAAACACATTAGACAATAAATCAAGATCTGAATTCTAGTAACTTATTGGCTATAACAAATCATAGGCAAATCCATTTAATTTTTCTGAGTTTTAGTTTCCCTGATATATAAAATGAGAATAATAGTCTTGTTTTATAACCTCACAGGAAATGGAAATTATACATTAGAAAGAACCTTCTGACTGTAATGCTTTGAAAAAGGAGGACAGTGAATCATATCTATGGCTAGATTTGGAGATTTTGCATGAAGTTTCACCCAAACAGCTTTGCAACACATTTAATTATAAACAAAAGGATAATCTGCTACATTTTGAAGTCAAATTCAATGCTCGTCAGTACTTAAATTCTTCAGAGCAAAAAAGATATCCTTTTTATTTTATTTTAAAGCAATTTTTATAAGAATTTACATTTTTTATTTGTATTTATTTTGGAGGAAGGGGGCCAAGAATTTACATTTATTTGAACCAAACTGATGGCATGCCAGGAAGCAAGATGTTCCTAAAAGATGTTCTTTTTAAAAACAAGGTACCAAGCTGCTATCCTAAGATTTACCTCTCAAACAGTGATATTCAACTTCTTTTTTCCCCTAGTGAATGCCTGAGAAACCAAATAGAAGTTAAATAACAAAAAATATATTGATATATTTATCTCTAATCTGTAACATAATATTACTATCTGTTCTCTAAAACTGTGTATCCAGAAATATGAACACATTTTTATAGTGATGAATTTTGATATAAAATGTAAATCGTACAATTATTAAATCATTATGTTATCGGTAATGTTGGCTCTCGGTTCTTGAGTTTGGCAAAGAAAGAATTCAGAGCCAAAAATTCTAGCACAAGAGAGTTTATCTATACTAATAAAAAGGTGATATGCTAATTAGACTGGATGACCAGACATCTTCTGGACATCTGACTTCCTCCCTCACAAAGCCACTGTGGTGGGGACTGAGGCAGAGGTGGTTAGGCACGGTGGTGGGGGCAGAGGCAGAGGTGGTTAGGGGTGATCAGGCCAGCAGGGGAGCAAGCAGTTAGGGGCCCTGGGAGCAAGCAGTTAGGGGCAAGATCAGGAACGATCAGGCTGGCTCGGGGGAGCAAGCAGTAGGGGCCTGTGTGGGGGACCAAGCAGTTAGGGGCGCCAGGAGCAAGCAGTTAGGGGTGAGATCAGGTGAGACCAGGCTGGCAAGGGACCAGTTAGAGAGTGATCAGGCAGGCAGGTAGAGTGGTTAGGGGCGATCAGGCAGGCAGGCAGGTGAGTGGATAGGAGCCAGCGGTCATGGCTTGCAAGAGGGATGTCTGACTGCCGGTTTAGGCCTGATCCCATGCAGTCAGACATCCCCTGAGGGGTCCCGGATTGGAGAGGGTGCAGGCCAGGCTGAGGGACCCCCCATGCATAAATTTAGTGCATCGGGCCTCTAGTTTAGTATACAAAGTGAAAGTACACTTAAGGAGAAGATTCAAGTGGGCTGCTCGGACAATTGTCTTGTTCTTTTAGAAAAAAAGTCACAGAGGTAGAAGAAGTGAGTCAGTTGGGATACATGGACTCAGAAAACAAGTTACAGAGGCAAAAGAGGGCCCTTGGAGACAGGTTCAGGTGATTAGCCAGGGATAAGCTGCCACTGCCTGCTGCTCCCCTGGTTTTAAGTCTCATGGGGACCCTTACAGTTCAGGAGAAATAAAGGAAAGATACAACCCTGAAGAAAATGAAGGAGTGTTTTAGAGAGAGAACATGCACTGGGTCCTGTCTTAAGAGTTTTTATCTGTTTTCTAAAGGTGGGAATTTTAGGGTAGGTCTCAGGGGAGGATCTCAATAGAATATCCACCAGCTTTCCAGGTATGTTCTTTCAGGGCTATGGTATCTACTGATTGGTTGGCACCATGGCAGGGAGTCATTAGTTATTGCATCTAGTACTGATGTCAGCCATGTCATTGCTTCATTTGTTTTTGCTGTTTTGCTGGGCCTGGAGTTGAAACACAACTGAGGCCTAGATGTTATCTCTAGTATGACCATAACCCTGTCTCTGTGGTCAACAGACCAGATGCTTTTACCTAAGATTATTTGATGCTGATCAGGACCTCATTGTCCTGAGGGCGTAATGCTTAAGGGAGTGGATGTGCAAGGGAGAAGGAGGCAGGTGAGTCAGGGTGATGGACGAGGCCAGCTTGAATCAGCTGTCTCAGTTTCCCCATTCTGCTTGCCAAATAATTTTTCTAACTTCTTACTATCCTGCCTCATTTCCATTTAAAATTTAAGGGCTTATAATTATAATTTAAATTTTTATTTAAAAAGTAAAATTTTAGCCCGGCCAGCTGGTGTGGCTCAGTGGTTGAGCATTGACCTATGAACCAGGAGGTCACAGTTCGATTCCCGGTCATGGCACATGCCCAGTTTTCAGGCTCGATCCTCAATGTGGGGCATGAAGGAGGCAGTTGATTGATGATTCTCTCTCATCATGGATTTTTTTTTTTATCTCTCTCCATTTCTCTCTGAAATCAATAAAATATATGTTTAAAAAAGTAAAATTTAATTTAAGGTATATAAAAGTTGTCTTTCATTACTTGCTTCTGGAAATGAATTAATAAAACCATTTCTAAAATGTGGCAATTTTCCTTCTTCCTCACCAATACTTTCCACTTTTAACACATGCTAGTCTCAATTTATACTCTTTTACCATGGGCAAATTAAAAACTAGAATTCTCATGTTACTAAAAATGAGTATTAGGATATTTAAAATTTTAAGTATAGTTGGCATACAATATTATATTAGTTTCAGGTGTACAACATAGCGATTCGACATTCATATATTTTACAATGTGATCACCAACCACATTAAGTCTAGTAACCATCTGTCACCATGCAAAGTTATCACACTATTATCGATTACATTTCCCTTCACTTTTTCCACCCACCTCTTCATCCTACTCTATTCTGGCAACCATCAGATTTTTTTTTCAGGTTTTTTTTTTATTTCAAGAAAAACTATTTTAAATATAATAATGTTACATGCAATAAACACCAATTATTCGAGAAT